TAAGTATAAGTACAATTAAAGTTGGATTAATCTTGACCGAAATTATATAATTTCGGTCGAAACTTGACTTTGAATATTAATTCGAATATTCTCGATTTCACATAATTAATCCTGAATAATAATGTCCGTTTATAAAATAAATGTTTCGGGAACTAATTATCAAAATTAACTCGGTTATTAAAATAAATTAAACCGAATAGATTTTTGACTTAAAGTCGAACTTATTTTTGAATAACTTATTAACTGGGCTCGAAACTCATCTTTGACGATTTATCGAATATTCTCAAATTCGATTAATACGTCAATACTGGAATAATTATCCTAATCTGCTGATGTCCGTTTAATATAACGGACTGAGATTAATTACTATCATTGACTTGGTTGATATATAAAATTAACCGGATATATTTTCGACTTAACGTTGAACTTGGAATTTAACTTAGTTGAATAACTTAGACATAAACATTAACATGAATATTTAATAACAAAGGCTAGTTTTTCTCAAAAGCTAGTATTTTCCTTTATTAATAAATTTCGGGGCGTTACACGCTTAACCTTCATCCGTGAAGAGCAGGTGGGGATGAGCACAATTGAAATCCGTAGTGCTCACCACTATGCACATGAACAATATTAAAGTACAAAAAAGTAACTGGCATGGTCGTAGTATGAACATAAATCTTTCAATATCCCATCTCATATCCCAAGTTCATAATTATCTCATGTGCACACCTATCAATATAGACTACATTTGGTCCACGTACTGTCTCTCCGCGGGAACTCTAATGTTGCCAAAGTAGGAGGGTCATCCGTCAACTCTAAGGATTTTATACGGGAAATCTACTGTCAACCGCGCGGGTATTAGACAGGTCTGCCAACCCCGAGGGTTTTAGGCAGGAAATCCATCATCGGCCAAGGCTCATGCCAAGATCCTCGCGAAGGACAAAGAGGAGATTACCCACTCGGGGTACGTTCTATAACTAAGGGGATACCGTTTCACAGCCGTTACGGCTCACGCCGAATTTGACATGTTCACATTTCATACTTTGATCATACCCAAGTAAGTAAACAAATTTCACAATTAAAGAGTTTATAAGTAAACCCACCTGGTCTACGAAGAATAGAGAAATCAAGGAAATAGGGTAAGCAGGCCGAGAACACAGCTCGTCAAACTCCTACGATTATTAAAATAGCCTATAAATGTCTATCCGACACCAAGATCATCATAATTAAGGCACGTAAGGTTCGCACCATCAACACATAAACAAGCTCAGCCCATATAAGTCACATAAGCAAATACTTAAAAAGAATTTCCATTTCCGAAAACATAACATATATAACAATCCTACATATACAAACAACAATTCTTCACAACCTAAAAATATAATTAGGATTCAAAATGTTTCTTCTTCTTCTTCTTCTTCGTTGTTCAATATCTCTCTGGTCAGATGGGTGGGATTTGATTTTTCCCTTCAAGCGCTAGAATTTCCACCAATACCTCTCCATCGCCGCCCGAATCCCCTCCACCATCCCCACCATCATCCGAGCCTAGCCGCCCCAAAATCCAGGTCCTAGTTCAGTTCTTCTGGTCGGAGAATCTGTACCATATTTTCCCTGATCTGCGGCCTCGCGATCGGTTCCCTTTGTCTATATGGATACAAAGTTTTCTTGCGTCATCATCCCAACCCCATTTGATCGGGGATTGAGATGAGTACGAATGTAATACGCCCGAAAATTAGATCACGAAGGCGAGAATTCTTATTCGGGAGTGCCGGATAAGCTCGCACTAACCTGTCAATTCGGGAACCAATAAAGGTCTTTGTCACTTAAATATTCTTTGATTGATGGTAGCTCATCAATTAAATCTATCTACTACGTTGTAGGCAATGGCGGGCCACTACATGCACTACTCCGACCCCGGCGACCTCTACCAGACCCTTAAGTACAACGCCGATGCACTCAAGCTGATCCAGTGGGTATCACCCTCTCCGATGCCGGTGGGAACCTCCCAGACCGCCGCTTCATATGGGAGTTCAATTTTAGCAACTTCGACAAATCGAGCGACGACCACAAGCCAAATTCCATTGACCTCCTCCGCAACCAGGGCGTCGATTTCGAGCACCTGCAAGTTCAGTGTGGCTGCCACCAGGTTTATTGAGCTCATGGTTTCGTCTGGCCTCGCCTGCAACAATGAGGTCACCTATATTACCTTTAACAGTGGCTACGACTTTGGGCACCTTATCAAACCATCACGTGGAAGGCTCTCCCTGGAAGCCTCAAGGTTTTTCTGAACATGCTGAGGGTATTCTTTGGGACCGAGTTTATGATGTTAAGCACCTGATGAAGTTCTGTCAGGGGCTGCATAGGGGATCTGATCAGGCGGCAAAGTCTCTCACGACCTCTGTTCGCTCCTCATCCGAATACCTCTCGATGCCGGCTTCCCGAGTCCACTGGACCAAAATTCCTCACCAATCAGCTCTTTTTCCTCCTCCATGGCTGGAACCCTTTCAACCCATTCCCAGGCTCGAGCCCAATCCCAACTCGAATAGGGTGCAAGAAGATGTTCACATGTAATTATATCTGTTGTTTGCTATCTGCTTTCTTAATGTTTCTATCTATCCATATTGATTTCGTTTTTAGTTTCCTATGTTTGTTTGATCAAACCAATTTATCTATATTATGTGCAAGGTAGCTGATGAGTTTTGTTGTTAGGCTCAATGGCTTAAGATTTTTATAATACTATATGATTTATAAGATTAGTGTAGCTGGAGTAAAGTACTTAACTGATGAAAAATCAAGAATTCAATTTGTGAACGATTATGTACCTTACAGACTGAATGTTCCCTTAGAAACACAAAGTGCTCTAACAATAAGTTTAAATAGAATTTAAAGGCTGATAGAGTTCCACGAGTAACAACAACCAGCTCAGATTTCTACTTTCTTAGCTAGGAACAATGAGTTGGCCCAAAAGCCAATAGGCATGAAGCATACACGACGACCTCGTAATTTGGCGCAATAATCCTCTTGCCCTCATAACAAAGTGGGGCCCCATAGAGGCCGTATCCGTGAGGAGGTTACACGTCTTGAGAGGTGAGGACACTAGCTTGACCTTGCATGAATGCAAAGGATGGCCCAAGAAAGAGTGGCCCATCTTAAAACCCTGAGCTGCCCATAAAAGTACCCATTTTTATCGGTCTTGAATGTCTTGTAGTAGCTGATTTGGTTCCTGTGGTCCTTGCAGGCGATACTTACCGTGGCAGTCTGGATGGGCTTGTCTCCGAACACTGCCCATGTCCCGTATTGACGGTAGGTTTAGCAGTAGATGACACCCTCGACCACCATATTGATGGCTTTCTTTGCCGCAGGTTTTAGCGGCTTGTTGGTGGTCGGCCATAAGTTTATGTGAGTTTTATATGTATATTTGCAAATTACTTTTGTTTAAAGTATAAATTATAATACAAAATTGAATGTTTTAGGAGGAGATTATTCGACTACAAAGTGAAATAAATGAAGATGGTCATGATATCATGTGATGAAGCTTTCATAAAAGTACTTGGACAAGAGAAACTTAACCGATTGCGTGGTTGTGGAGACGGCTTATAACCCCTTTCAAAAGAGGACATGGAATCAACGAGGAGATGAGAAGAATATAAACTAAAGAACTAAAGAAGGAAAGGAAGAGATGGCTTCACGGATGCAGTCATTGGGAACTCAATTAAGTATTCAAAGAAATTCATGAGCAAGTGTTGTATATATTTTCCGGAGTAGAATCGAAGGATTATACACCGGGTCGTGTCTCTCGAGGAAGGTTAGCCGGATTATTTTGTACGATTATTCACACACTAAAAGGGAAAATAAAAGAAATAAAGTTCCTAAACATGCTAGTTCAGAGATTGGATTGGTATTTTTAATAAACGACTACTGCAAGAATTTAAATAAAACAAGTAAATAGCAAGCGAAAACGTAGAACAAATGAGATTAAAGAAGCTAGGGAGTCGGGAATATCCGTTTTGGTTCGAAATGCACTTAGTGGGCAAGTGATTGTTCAGTTACGTAATTTGAAAAACTGACACGTTCAAGTACCCTTTCTCAATAACTTTTCGTAACAAGAGAACAAACTAGAACGACTAATTAACAATTCATTTAGCTTATAGGCAATACAGTTACGAACAAACCTAGTTCATACGAGTCTATTTCGACTGACTCTTTGCCTTTCAGTTCTAAGAGTCGATTAACTTAGACTAGAAGATGATTAATCAGCTAGAATTAACAACATCAAGCATGAATTTATCAAATTTAATTGAAACAATTGCAAGTTGAAGTGTCACCTTAAACAATTCTCAAAATCCAAAATGATAATTGAAAAACCCTAATTAAAGAGCGACTCGTACAAATTGAACAATCACGAATCCACAATCACAATCGAGACCAAAATGATAATCCCATATTCCCTAGCATAAGTATTTTGCTATGCATAATCGAACAATCAACAAAAATAATTATTGCATCCCAAAAATTCATAAGTAACGATTAAGATAAAAAAAATATTACGATTGATAATTGTCAAAGTTGAATTTGATAAACACGATTGAATGCGAAAGCAATAGCAAAAATCCGATGTTTAATCCTTGTTCTACGATTGAAAAGATGGAAGAAAGTGTAAAAAAATGAGAGAAAAGAGAAGAGAGTAGGTTTGCGATTTTCTGTCGTGAAAGAATGATTTTCTGATCTCACAGTCTCATATTTATATCTGCACGCATCACGGCGCGAGAGACCTGCAGCACCACGTAGAAGGTGGTAGTCCCGTGGCGCGACGGACGATACGGTGTGGCAGGGTCGTGCATCACGGCGTGCAGCTGCTTCGCAGCGCAGCATCTGGGATGTTTGAATTCTTCTGTCGACCTCGCGGCGGCGTGGCGGCGCGCCAGGCCTCTTCTCAACGGCGCGCGGAGATGTCGCGGCGCATGGGTCGCGCGAGCTACAATGGGAGAGAAAAGGTGGCAGGCGCCGTGGCGTGCCGTGTGCACCGGCGAGGCTGGAGTAGGTGTCACGGCGAGGCGCTGAACGCGGCATGGAGCTGGAATTCTGGTCATCTGTCCAAGACGTGGCGGCAACACGGCGCGATGGCTGGAACCTCAGGTCTAAGTGCATTTCGCGTATTATCCGTTCGAGCTCGTTTGACCTTCGAATTTGGCTCTGTTTTCTCCCGTGTACTCCTATCGAAATGCTCTCTTTATCCATATTTGCGCGGTCCATTTATCTTGGAAAACGAATCCTCTCGACTTCTTTAACCTGCACATAAAAAACGACACACAATCGGAAAATAACCGAGAAAATACCAAAAAAATCGAGATAAAGCAAAACACAAAATAAACCAAAAAATAAACTGAAAATCGACTAGACGACTCAAAATAGGGGAAAAAGAAAGACAAAAAGATAACAAAAAATGCAATAAAAATGGGACAAACAACTCTCTCACACTAAAACCTTTATTCGTCTCGAACAAAAAGAAAAGAAAAGACTCGAAGACAATCAAAAGAGCATGGATAACAGTTTCAGATAAGACAATTCTCAAATTAATCCACTTAGTCGAGGAGAATTCCAATGACCAAAATAGCACACCTCCATTACGACTCGAATGCAACGCTTTGAAAAGATAAACTCTCAAGCACGAAAGTATAATATGTATATGCCTCACTCGGTTTCTTTCATGAGTATAAAACTGGGACGCTCAAATTGGTTCGGTCATCATGCATCAACATAAACTTGTTTATCATCTATTCATACTCTAAACACACCAAAGCATGAACTGTAAATCAAGAGGACTTTCAAGGTTACATTGTAGGCATCAAAGGGAGGACAAATATAGGGATAGAGTGGCTCAAGTAAACAATCAAACCCTCGAGCATATAAATGACTCGAACAGCTCACCACTTATCGAACATCATCATGATACTAACCGTTCCCATAAAGACTCAATACAACACTTGCATACGCTCAAACATAATTGCACTTCAAGTACTCGACTTCTATATTTTTTTTTATTACATATATATATTTTTTAGGAGAACTACTTTTTCCTAACAAGACTGAAACGTAAGGACGACATTTTATAGGTTTAAACGTTGGAGGTCATCCAAGTTTCCTAGAGTGGTTTCCCAATACCCATTACTCGTAAAAATCCCACAAGTAAGCGGAGTAGAATTCTTTAGTTCGTCTTGTAAATTTCCATATTTTTGTTTTTGTCAAGCACTCAAAATGCAACACAAGCAAGTTATAAACCTTTTCCAAACACATATTAGAAGCACCATCATCATAACAAATGCATTGTCAAATTTTCAAATAACTCAATCAAATTGGTTGACAAGAAGTTCAGTTTAGGCTCAACAGGCTACTAATGGAAATATAACTTTAAGGGTCAGCGAAAAAGGCAAAAATAAGCTATATCAAAGAAATGCCTCTATCATATCCACAATTCACTACTTCGATCAATTCATTTCAAAATAAACTCAAAGCAAGTTCTGATCAACAAGAATTCGACCGATATCTCTCAAGAAACAAAATAAGGCTCAAACCCTCGCATAAGGTAGATAATGTCCAACAAAACGATACATCAAGCTCATCAAAATATACTGATCATGATCATCATCACATCCTCAACATCATCAACAATCATCAACAAATCATAAAATTAACCATAATCCATACTAAAAAACACACAACTGACTCAAGAAAGGACAATAAAAAAGAAAAAAGAAAACAACCTAAAGACCAAGACTTGATCAACCATATAAGCAGATAATCATGTAAAACTCCCCCACACTTAAAACCGAACAATGTCCCCATTGTCGATCTTAAATGTAAGTAAAGTTAATTCATATAACCAATCAACAGAAAAACCAAGACAGAAAAAACTAAAGTAAAAATGAAAATAAAGAGAACGGAAAACAAAAAATACAAACGTACAGGGCATAGTGACTAGACTAGTCACTGTGAATCCGGTGGTGCTGGTGGAGGGTGAAGGAAGTCAGGCCCCAAAACAACGGGCTTCCATAAAGTCAAATCACTTGCCCCACTCGGATCGGCGCAACTCTCTGGAAATAGGAGGGGGAAGAGTAAGGTGGCGGTCGGTACGTCATCCTCTATTATTGACAGCTCGATTCTGCAATTCCCTCTTAGTGTGCTCTCGCATGCATGCTTCCTCAGTCAGCTGCCTTATTGCCCAAATGTATGCACACTCTTCCATCACATTTGCCTACGGCTCAGGCTGGGTTTCTCGAACTGAAACGATGATGGACTCGCCCAATACAGTCATGCTGGTTGTCCCCTTCTTCACGTCTAAAACAGAGCTCGTGGTCGCCATGAAGGGTCGTCCGAGGATGATGGCATGCTCCTTACCATTTTCTTGCACACTCCCCACATCAAGCACGATGAAGTCTACGGGGACTATCAGCTTCCCCACTCGGATGAGCACATCCTCCACAATCCCTACGAGGTGACGAAATGAACGGTCTGCAAGTTGTAGGCGCATTTTGGTGGGCTTCAACTCCCCGAGCCTGAGCCTATGATAAAACGTTAGTGGCATGAGGTTAATGCCAGCTTCCAGGTCAAGCATGTTTGAGGTCTCGTCCCCATTCCTGAAGGCTAAAGTGATCACAAAGCCTCCAGGGTCTTTTTTCTTCTTCGGAAAATTATGTTGAAAGACACTTGCCGCTTCAAAATCCAGCACCTCATCATCACTCTCGAGCCTCTGTTTACTTGCCTCCAATTTCTTGAAAAATCTTGCATACTCCGATATCTTGTTGATCACATCTGGTGGATATAAGTCGACGTTGGCCATAGCCAGCATCGCATGCAGGTCCTAGATCATTCTACAGTCTTTCTCCTTTAAAAGCCGACTCGGGAATGGAATTTTCAGTTTGTATGGGTTTGGGGATTTGTGTAAGGTAGGCTTGGGCTACAGTGTAACTAGGTTCGTCGCTTTCTGTACCTCCTTCATCGGGCTCTCGAGCTTGGGCGTAACCATTATCACTGATTTGGCGTGCTCTAGTTGGCTCGACAACTTCCCCTTATCCAATTCAGTCTCGATATTACCAACCCGTGTGGCCAGCTAGCCTACTTGCGTCTCAAGACGCTTAATAGATGCATCTTGATTGGTGATGAAGTTTAGAATCTTGTTGAGCTTGTCGTCCGTGCTCGGTGGGGTTGGTTTGGTTTCTGGTGCGGGCAGCCTTAGCATTCCCCTAGGTTGTTGCTGTTGCTGAGGTGGCTGCTGGTAATGTTTATTGGCCCATGAGAAATGAGGGTGGTTTCGCCACCCCGTGTTATACGTGTTCGAGTAGGGGTCATTTCCGGGCCGGTTCTGATAACCC